GTGGAGAGCGTGGCCTCATTATGAAGGAGATAAAGACCGTTAAGGCTGTTTGGTCTTGGGCCGGCTCCAGCCCCTATGGTGAAACACACCTGCTCCCCTCTTTAAAAAGCCCTGCTCCAGTTTAGCTCTTGGCCACGGACGAGTAATGACCTATCCAGGGGGCCGTAACGCCCGCTTCGTTTAGCCTGTCGTTAAGACCCAGAGTCAGCAGCATACTGCGGCACATCGCCGTGCCAAAACTCAGCGCAGGGTGCCCTTGCCAAAAAGAGCCCACGTCAAAGCCTACGCCGCTAGAATACGGAGAAGTAAACTAGCTCAAAAGCCGACGAGACGCGAGGATGCGAGGTCCTCGTCGAGCGGCGGACTGCGGCGCCGCCTTCTCGCGCGACGCCAAAGAGTCACGTTTCAGTCGGATTTCGCTTTTTTTTAGTTCAATAGATGTGGCGTTTGATCTTTAGAAGTGTTGCTTGAAACCGCGGAGAATGTTTTCAGTGGATTACAAATAATTTTAGGGATACGCAATTCAGACATGAATCGAGGTAAAAACTGCTTTAAAAATGGGAGCCCCTTGTTGGCCGCACTCTTGTTTTTGTCACGAATACGCTGATGTGATTCGGCTGCTGTCCGGTGCAGGGGCGAATCTATTCTTGTGGGCGAAAGGGACGCATGCGGGTCAACCCAAAATCTGGAAAATGTATTGATTTGACAGAAAGCTGTCAAGTAGCAGTTTCAAAATAATCAAAATATATTTTAAACTGCTTGATGGATCGGGATTGGAGGGTTTCGAAAATTCAAGTTGATGTTGGCCCTGTATCCCAGTTCTACAATACTTGAGTGCAAGTTTTTTTTTTTTTAGACTCTCCGGACCTGTGAAGACACTGTCACTCGGCTTTGATAAGCGCAAGTAGATCAGGAAAAAGAGAAAGAAAAAAAATGGGCCCTTGTGCGTCAGCCAATCGGAGGGAGGGCGCTCGCAGATGCGGCGCCGGCTCGCTAATTAGAGAACAGAAAGTTGCAGCTTGACACCGCTTGGGCTGCCATTGTTGTCCCGTCTTTGTTGTGGCCGAGGACACCGGCACGCGGAGGAACGTACGGCGTGGAGGCCCCCGTCGAAAGATCTCCCAGTTCTGTTTTCATCAAAGCGTTTCTTTGGCACGACACTGCGGCGCGGGTATGCTAATGTGTTGTGCTGCCTGGAAAGCTGTCAAAAAGCTCCCACCTTGGATGAGAGAGCGCCGTAATTCAACCGGGCTCCTGTCTTGTGCGCGTTCAGGTCTCCTCATTATGCCGCTTTGCAGGGGTAATGGCGCCTCGCGCCGTTTTATCTGTCAGCTCGCAGCAAACTGTAGTTTTTTTAGCCGCCTATATTCGATGCTAACATCAAAGGCGTCGGAAGAAGAAGGGGGGGGGAGGTTGTCGCTTTAAAATAAAAAAAATAATAAATAAGGGGAAACACTCCCGGTAGGCGAAAAATTGAACGTCTTGTGTGTATTGAGAATAGATTTGCTGCTTCGACGTGGACGCGTTTGTTCTCGAGTAAACAGCGAGTCTTGTTTGGGTGTAACTGTCAGCCCGAGCACCCCCCACCCCACCGCTCCGCTCAACCCCTTTGCGAGATCGGGCTTGTTCGCAAAGCGGGGAAACACGGCGGCACGCATTCGTGCCGTCTTGATCAACGGGGGAATCGAGTCGGCGCTGACAGCGAGGCACGCGGCACGCGTCGGCCCGCGTGACGCCGCCATTCACACGTGTCACTTTTCCTCCCGACTTCCCAGTACGGCGGTGCCTTGACTTGCGAGCGCCCCCACCTTACAAGTTTTTGGTGATTTATTTGCTTTGCGTTGTGGGATAATTTATTTTTTTTTTTTTAAATACAGGATGAGTAAACTTGAGACTTGGGAGTAAGGCTGAACAATGAATCCAATTCAAATTTGCATTGCAATGTACAAAATAGTTAGAATGCCATTTTTGATCACCTGTGAGAGCAAACACTGATATAAAACAAATCTGAAAGTTTATTTTTCTGCTTTAAAAAAAAAAAAAAAATGAAAATACTCATGGAGAATATGCTGGTAAATGGCCGACCAGAAATGGCGTCATTGCTCCTGATGGTGCTGTCTAGGCCACACCCCCTTAGAGGCACACGTCACACAAATATTACAGTGAATGCGTGTGCACGTGTGGTGCAGGAATACACGAGTTTGGGATTTCACCTTGTAGATAGTTTATTTTCTTCATTTTGACATATGCAATTTAGTGAGTTTTAACTCGCTTTTAGAGGGATTTGTGTAAAAGTAAAGTACATGCTTAAAATTCCCAATTCCCAATCCACTGGTGCACCTTTCATCTTCCGTTTAGGCCATCCAGTTTCAAAATATGTTTAAAACCAACTCCAAAAGGCTCAAGTATGACATTTATTGACAACGACTAAAAATGAAAGAAATTCTCCGCATGATTAGAGTTGGTTTTAGCTCATCAATGAATTTCCGCGGAGAAAATGGATGTGATGAAAATTGAGTTACAAGTTTGGCTGCAGAATGAAAGGAACTCTTAAGTCGAGTCACCGCCGCGGTCTGTCTGGCACCTTGTCACCTTTATTTGGCCAAGTGGGGCTTTTACACCCCCGCTGGGTGCTGACAGATTTGTGCAATATCCGTCCCTTTTTCTTCAGCACTTGTCCTCATTAGAGTCGCGCGTGTGCTGAAGCCTGTCCCAGCTGACTTAAGGCGACAGGCGGGGGTACGCCCTGGACTGGTCACCCGCACAACCGTTCACACCGATGAACAATTTTAGAGTCCATCCATGAAATGAGCGTGCATGTTTTTGGAAGGTGGCGGAAACGAAAAGAAATTCCTCTCTGACCACGTCAATCAAAAGTGAGCGTCGATAGCTTTTTAACCCTTTGAGGGACAGCGGTTACTACAGTGGACAGCTGATCATGTTAACAGGTTACAGGGTGCGTGAAAGGGTTAAAGCCATTTTTG